CCGCGTGCTGTTTAATCCATATAAGCTGCAGTTAAACCGTTTACTCAATGGTAATGGCTTGGTACGACAATAAGCTTATAAGCCCATGTTATACAGATGACATTACAAATCTTGCATTCAGCTTTTATACCAATGGATGATATAGTACTAGGACTTAGCAAGTTAATGAAAAGCGTTCTCCTGTCTATGACATCATGGAGGATGCAATCTTTACAGTTTCTTACTGATCTACAATAAAACGATACGTTAAAAAATAAGGACATTTCTATAGGATTTTATGGACGATGCAATTTCCATGGCCACTATTGCTATCAGGTAAATACATGGCACAAATGCTATCAGGAGAAATACAGTTTCAAAACATGTCTTTCTAAATGGTGAAAACAATGGGCATAGTGAAAATTTATGCAAATGTACGATAAGTGGGAACTGCTAACTGCTACAGGAGTTAAAAGTTTAATTTTGAAAATGACTGCCAAATGGAATCAAAATCAATTCTTCACTGCACATTATCAACTTGCCAGAAAAAAAAGGCCAATTTGAAGTGATGCTGTCGATTAATCCAAATCATGTCCATCAAATGCTGGAAGAATGAATGACTTACAATTTACGTCCACATTTCATAAAACGGAGACGAAGACAACTTCGAATCTTTTGAAAACTCTCGGAACTAACATTTAATATGAAAATGGCCGACCATGCATAAAAAAGAAAGATATTAGCGAGGTTGCGACCGACGTTTTCAACGCGAAAACGTGTACGTCGAACGTTCAGCGCCGCCTTCCTGTAAGCCCAGTGTTTTATGGCAATAGCGTTTGGAACGTCAGTGGAATCATGCTCGACGTTCCAAACGCCATTGTGAAACTTCTAGGCTTACAGGAAGGCGGCGTTGAACATTGAAGGTACACGTTTTTGCGTTGAAAACTTCGGCCTCAACCTCGCTCTTCCTTTTTTATCGTGCTCTCAAGACGATAAAACACTTTGCCTCAACCATTTTATTGGTTTACCTCTTTAGAGAATGACACAGATGATATATCTGTGTAAGTTTTCATTATGCCCAGTGTTTTCTCGTTCCCAAAATAAGATAAATTCCAAGTAGGAAGCCTTTCCTTCTTAATGTTAGAATTAATAAAACTAAAATATATACTAATTGTAGTTTTGTTGTAGTGTTATTTACGCTCTTTAATGTTATCGTTTGGTTATTTTTATCAGTATAGACAAGTCCTAAAATGATTAGAATATTTGACAAGCAAACACCATACGTACGGTACAGTACTTACTCCATTACGTAGCATTTAATGCTATCTGCCGAAGTAAGTTCGTACGATGTTTGTTTGTGCTAGTGTCAATTGTCACCAGTTTCAGCTTATTGGTAAATTAGACGAAGTTCTACTGAATAACATACAATTTTTTGTTAGTTAATTGTCGACCAGTCTGTTATGTTGCATGGGCATTGATGTAGCATGATGTAACAATTTTAACAATTTTATTCACTTTTGTGAAAATGCAGTGATGTTATCTTTACTTAAAAACTTCAAATTGACGTCTTGCACAAGCTGCATCGTGACGCTTGAACCGCATCCGGTCACACATTGAATCCATGGCCACACATATTTAATGCATATAACAAGATATTGTGTTAACCGAAAACAAAATGAAAGTGCTTATTCGCTACTAAAGCAGTTTTTCGTACAGATACCAAACAATCCGCATGGTAAATGGAATACATTACAATTTTACATCGATAACTCTATAGATGTTAGTTTTAACTTAAGTAGATAATACAGTAGTAAAAATTTTCTAAATATGAGAAAAATAATCGACAAATTTAAATTTTTATTTCTAGAATAATAAGTAGCGTAACGATAATTTTAAGCTTACAAAAAACTTTGCAAAGCTTGAAAATATCTACGAAAACATTATAATTATAATCCGGTCACTAATCTTTTGTTTCTTTTCTCCGAGACAAGCAGCGCCAATACGAGAGACGAAAGTATCAATAGTATTTCGGAACCGTTTCCGGTAATGTACACAAATTTTGTCTTTACTCTCGTCGTTTACGAATCTGATAAAAGTTTATTATATGTCCACGGTGGCCAAACTACAGCTCTTTTAGACTTCGATTACAGCTCCACTATAGTTATACAATACTACGTATGTAAGTAGCACGTAAAAAGAAATTGTGTAACTATATGGAGTCACGAATCGCAATAAGGGTGTAGAAGTGGCATGTGCAGCTCACGAGCCAATTGGCCATCGTGGTTATATACGTTTTAGGGCTCCTAGAATCCAGGCTGTAACTATTTTTAGGCCAACACTTCAGCGCGTGGCATATTGAAAGTGTAATGGACACATGTTAAAACATACAAAGCTATTACTTTCATAACGGTATCACAAGTTATTTTCAAAATTTATGACATGAAAGTTATGAATAAATTTTAACATGTTATAATTTTCCGAAGATATCGTTATTTATTAGAATAACCAACTTGTAAACAATATACATTTTTATCTAATGCAAAATGAGACATTTCAGCGTTTTTGCCGAGTACAAGCGTTATGAATTCATTGTTTATTATAAATACTGTATCAACATATACGATTATTTAAAGTATGGATGTATTGAGATAGTGTAACATAAATATAAAAAATGCAGTATAATAGAAATAATCACCTTAATTATGATCACACTAATTAGAAATGATTTAATTAAAAAATGTTAATAATAGTAATTACAGTACTTAAATTAAGAATTCACTCAAGGGTTCAGTAAGGATTTAGTCTAAATTTAACGAAATATAAATGTGTGTAATATATTTAATTAAAAAGTAAAATCATTAATTACCATACACATTAAAAAGTAATAAACCCAATAACTATTGTTCGTAATGCAATGGTTTGTGCAATTAACTGTAGAACAACCACCCATTTCTTCTTAAAATTACAGCAAACACGTGGCAACAGACTCGGCCTACAATGGCGCGTGACTCAGCACGTGTTTAAGGAGCCTTAATACGTTTGAATTGCGTGCAAGCGATACGTATATGAAAGTTTAATTAATATCGTTGGCTTTTCAGAAATGTGGAATACAAAAATATATTGCTAAACGTTTGCTTAATTTGTTTTATCAAACCCGTTGTTTATTCTTCATATTTAAATACTGTATATACATTTTTAAACGATAGTATTATATTTAAGATTTCAGTTTAAATTTGTAAATCAAAGTGCAAGAGTTCATAGATACACAAAATAGATATAAAACATTAAATACACGTGAATTAATAAGGCCATTTTTACTCCACCAGTGACGAAAATATTTTTTGACCTTGGTCTTTGTTTACATAATGTTCTTCCGAATCGTTATCCTGGCATTTTTGGTTCAGTCGTTCGTGACACAAACGTCGATTAATTGACACGGAAGTTTCACAGTTTCCCCCGCCTAAAATAACGGTAAATTTGAGGAATTTAACTTTTTTAATTATGATAATAATCGTTCCTGGCCGTTTAATATGGAAGAAACAATATTTTTGTCACGGATCCGTATACTACGAAGCGAGGAAAGCTACGAAACCACCGGCCGTGCGTGAAATGTAAATTATGCGCGTGGGCGAAAGGTACCGGGTGACCAGCCAGCTAACAGGAGTCGTACCAGGCAAAAAACGTATAATAAAACCTCGATTTAACGGGCTAATTGGGGCGAGGGGTGTGCGTTATATAAATATAATAAAGTAGGTTTTCCCAGTACGCCAATTAAACTATGTCCGTTTTTTTAATCTGTGTTTACTTTTGTTTAATTGAAATTATGCAAGAGAAGTTTAATTCACAGAAGTCTTCTATGTGTATTACTGTTAATGTAGTTTTTTATTAATTAATTGTTAATGTAGACTGTAATAAACAAGCACAGTATACGATCTAAATCGAAATATATTTTTTGGGATTAAATACACTTTAATTGTATTTAACGAAATAATTTGAAATTGGATTTGAAAAAATAACAAGAACCTGCTAATTTAATTACGTATAAAACGCATTTTATACTTAATTAAATTAACGGGGCGGTTATTTTCGCACGTAACATACGGATCGGAAATTTTGTCCGTTAAATCGAGGCCCTACTGGATTTGCCGATCTCTAAAAGAAAAAACGACGTTAGAAAGATTCTGCCGGAAAGTTATCGCTTAGAAAGACGATTAACTTCAAAATAATATTTTCCCTCGCAAAGAGGACCATCGAATTGCAGCCCGTTAAAAGTGTACTGTCTTATAATACAAGTTAAGTATTGAAAGTATACAAATCGAAATAAACATCCGTCGGACTCAAATTGGGTAATTATAAAAAGATTTCGTACGTATAAAACACCAAAATATTCCTAAATGATTATTTAACTTCGTAACGTTTTAATAATAATAATAATTAATTGTTAATTAACACGGCACTTTTAAATCGTATATTTTTAATGCTGCAGGTCAACGCATCGTTTCGCGGAAGTCAGCATTCTGTGGCGGATCGTTCCGGTTGGCAGACTGAGAAGGGCCAGGTCGACCGACGTGGATTCCGCCCCGTCTCCGTCCAAACTTTCGCCCAGGCTACGACAGGCCATTTCACAGAGACGCCCGTGTAAGTAACGATGGCGACATCACAGAGGACTTTCGTCTACTCACGTCGCACGCGCCAACCAACGCAACGTCTTGCGCAGCGCCCACTGTTTTTATTTCGAATTGCAGGCTGTGCCTCGGTTTTAAAAATAATTTTAGCAAATTTAGTTTGGAGACAAAATATTCTGTTATCGCATTCCATACGATTTTTTTTTGTCGATAACAGAAGCCATTTTCCGTTAATCCCGACGTTCTGGTAAATCGAATCATATATAGTCTGACCGCGAGATTCCATGGGTGTACACGTGTGTAAATGGTTGTTTGAGGTATTAAATGGAGTGTAAAATAACAAAAGATGTGAAAGCTAGTGTTTCGGGAAATCGACAGGACACCAACACCCCCGTAAACAACTTATACTCTTTTTTAATTTTTGTACATATGCCATTCCATATACAATTCATTGATATCTGCAGAAGTATCACATTTTCATTTTCCATACGCAGCGCGTGGATTGAGCCGAGGAGTGCGTGCCAACCGTTTCCAGTCTCGGAAGATTTTTTCCGAATTTCGAAAACGGAGCAGAATTTTCTGATAATCGGATCGACGCCGATTCGGTCGGGTTAAAAAAATATATTATAATTTTTATTTTTTTTAAAAAAAACACTACATATGTGACGTCGTTATGCGTTTATCCGGCTGTGTGTGATTGGAGGACTTGTTTGTTTTGCAATTGTTACGACCCGAACGTTATCGAAAAAGCTTAAAACAAAAAAATAACGAAAGATGTAATGTACCTTATCCTTACTTTTAATGTTAACAGTTCGAGCAAGAAAAAAAATTACTAATTAAAAAAAAATGACTCGATCGGTGCAAGGCAACGTGATACACTTGGCTGTTTTAACAAGAGATATTCGACAATATGTGGGGAAATAATGACATTGCTGCACACTAGGTAAACTCGTCATCACAGCCATGCGGCCATATTTGCACTTCCTGTCGCTATAAGTTCTGTGACGTTGGTCCTTGTCGTTTTGTTTACGCCAGACAACGGGTTATTTCTCATCACCTTCGGTGCAAATTGTTATCTTTTGTCTGTTTTAAGAGTTTATTGCTTTGTTTATATATGTATATATATTCCAGTACGTCTCAACACTCAGATTTCTCCTCTACCAGTTTCTGAGTATCTTTATCACTGTCCGTCGTCACGGGGTCTAGCGACGTCTGGCGGATCTAGATGGGCGGCGAGGACCAGTGTACTACGTCGGAGGGCGTGAGGATGGCCGCCTTTCCTCCGTTGTAGACGGAACCGAAGGCGTTTTTGTCCATCAGTTCTCCGGGAACCTCGTACAGTCCCACCTCTTTGTCGGTGGGCTCCACCCCCATCGTATCGATGGCGTCGTACATGGGATTGCTGAAATCGGTAGGTTTTTCGGTGTCTTCCAAGTGGAATTCTGCATCCAGTGGTTCCTGCTTTGAGGATATTGGAGAAGAGGTTAGTTAAATAATTACGCGGTTTTCTCTACGCGTATTTTTGGGAAAATACCTTATAGATGTTATCTTGGGTGCCGTTTCGTAAAGATGGAGTGGGTAGCTCCACGTTTGTTCCGATGCGGAAGGAAACGCTTTGATTGTGATTGACCAAGCTGCCTGATTTTCTGAAATTTAAGAACAATTAAGTGTTAAAAACACATTGTAAGAATAACGTAAATTATACTTCTGGTGTGACGTACAAGTTTTTCTGACGGAAAAAACACAGAAGACCCGTGGCCGTCACTAAAATCAACAATATGACCAATATAGGGATGATGATGGCTGCAGTATCTGGAAAGACGATGGCAAAGTATTTTAATAAGTAAAATTCCTCACGGTGGATCGTAATACTCGCTATACTTACTACTATGAGAGGCCAGGCTGATGGCACCCTGCTGCACCATTACGCTGCAGTGTACCCCCACGAAATTTTCTGGACATCTGCAGATTATTTTGCCCGCCACCAACTCGCAGTAGCCTCCATTTTCACACAGACACCTTTCGGGTTGGGGTTTGGGATTCTCAAATCCTGTTGGATAAACATTTCAGTGACGAGTAACACTAGAGGTAAAAAAGAATTTGCAAAAACGTACCTGCATTGCAAGATTCTAGGCTCCCTCCTTCAAACAGAGTGCCGTCGGGACAGGCACACTGGTATCCTCGAGGAATCAACAGGCAGAGATGAGTGCAAGATGTGGTGGAACATCTGTTGGTAACTGTATATGAGAGAAAATAAATTAGACAATTCCTAAAAGATATCATCTACATGTTGCAAAATTATTTCACAAGGACGTATTTATATTGACAGAATACAAACGCACTCGACATGTTATATTTCTGCTGGTGATATATCTTGACGCCGGCGGGTGTTACTTCCAAACTCCGTCTTGCGCGGACTTTGACACCCCTTCCAAATTTGTCCTGGTGATATATTTCTCCGGAATCCTTCTCAATCCAGTACATGTGATCCTCAAAAATGTCCAGGCCAGAAGGATGATGTAAATCTGAAATGGAAAATTTATTAAATTCAGTCCTGGATAGAACCCACAAAGAAAGTTGGTGCAGATGACCCACCTCCTCCGAGCACGATCTTGCGATCGGATCCATCCACATTCATCGACTCTATGACATTCTCCTTTGTGTCGCACCAGTAGATTCTGTGATTTTGGGCATAATCCACCGTCAGACCCGTGGGATGGCCCAGCTTTTCATCCACCAGAGTCTTCCGCTTGTTGCCGTCCATCCACGCACTCTCTATCTTTGGCAGCGTACTGCTCTCAGTCCAGAACATCAGCCTGAAACACAAAAATAAAATTTTTCTGCCAAACAATACAATTGAACATTGTGCAATTTGTTTGTACTGCAACATTACAGAAAGTTTAGTGATGAGTAACAAGAAACTCAAAGAATGGGTTATAGTTCCTTTCTTTACACTTCTTATGTAAAGATTAATATATGCTGACACCCCCAAGCAGAGTTTAATGTATCCAAACTAAATTTGAAGTATAAACAGGCACATTATTAAGAAGTCTAGATGTTTATCAAAATCAACTAAAATTATGGAACGACAACTTCCTGAGAAAGTCTGACATCATCTCTGTACTGTAGAGCATTCAATGTTCATATCTCAAACACATGGAGTGTGAATGCCTTTCCACACAAATAACAAGCCACGTCCTAAGATGTCTCATTCTCTAATGTTGGAAGGGAGATAACAGGTTCCCTGTTCTCTCCAGATGAAATGACAATGAGAATATGACCCTGATTGTCTTGACTCCATGAATGATACCATCTCCTATGAGAGAAGATAAGATGTATACAAACCACAGGCTTCCTTACATAAAGGCATACATCATATAGCCCACAGTGTATGGTTTGTCTTGACTTGGCCAAGAGCTCTAAAGACTGTTCCTGGTGGTATATGTTCTGGTATGATGTCTTGTGATTAAAGCTAAATATTAATATTAATATTGGCCTTCTCTTGACATCATGCTCCTGGGCAACCTTGGCCGGGTCTCAAAACCATTGCAACTCTCTATTGGTTTGAGTTGGGTACACTTGTGTGAGGCATAGGGTAAGCAATCATATGCAATAAAAACCTTTTTGCACTCTCCAAGAATGACAAATGCCCATCATGTCAGCCAGGCATATATAGACAACTTATTTTGCACATATAAAAATATTCAAACTGTATTTTATTCAGTTTTTTGATAAAATATCTGAAATTATAGGCCGAGCTTTAAGCTAGGTTCGTTAGGAGTTGAGAATATCTCAACTTTTGCCAAACTCTAGTGATTGGTTAAAAGGTTCTAACTTAGTATGATGCAAACAATATTTTGTTTCAGTTAGTGTTCGTTTCATTCATTTATAGTCATTTGTACGACAGTGTAAACCAGGGGTGTCCAACCTTCCAAGTATATATAATATATACTTGTGGCCCTTAATCATACTTGTATATTTAAGGATTAACATGTCTAGATTATAATAATAAGTTTTAAAACTTTACTTCTCAGACACTTTCAATTTTTACTTAGAAATAGATTCTCCCTTTTAATGAAAAACACAAATATGTTTTATTTGGGTCTCTAAAATGGTGTTTCGTGCATTTTTATTTAAATAATATGTAGCCATAGTGCCAAATGATATTTTTTTATGTCAAACTAAAAAAAAATGTAGCCAAATCTTGCAATGCTGGAAGGAATACTAAATAAAGCTGGAGTTGTGACTCAAAGGATTATAGGACAAAAGATAAAGAAGTGAGAAAGGTTGGAAAATTAAGGGTCAATATTTGCATAACAGAAGTTCTATTTAACCTTTCTCTCCTTTCCCCAAATTTGAGTCTATAATCCTTTGAGTCACAACTCCAGCTTTATTTAGTAATTCTTCCTCATTCACATATCTCCAAGTACAGTCGACCCCCCTATAACGTAGCGAAAAATTTGTAGCAACATACGTATAAAGGAACTCCTAAAACGTCATCGCCGACTCATTTCGCAACAAGATTGATAGAATCTGGACCAATAGTGGATGAGCAGCCAAACTACTTTTCTCCGCCACGCTACGGAGCGGCTAAATTGAGTTTGCTATCGTCTCTACAGTATTATATATAAATTAGGTACTGTATATATAATTATATATTAACTTA